AAAATAAATTATTCAATAATGGCCTTACCTCTCTTATTTGTCTTAGAGCAACGAAATCGCCATCTTCTGAAGCATCACCTGGCGAGACGAAAAATGACGTCTGCTTAGTTAATCTGCGAAACCTATTGGCCATGATAAAAATTCTTCATTTACTGACACCTGAAAGTAGAAAATAGGTAAAATTCACACCTTAAGATGGTTCTTCATATAATTCAAAGATCAAAGCCTCATGTTGTTGTTTCATCCGATTTAAATGTATTTTCAAAGTATTTTACTTATTCTTGTCTGTCTTCCTGTCTTTAACAAAGCAAACTATGATTTTAAAATGTCTACTGACCATAAACATATGCATTAATTACCTCTAGCTAAAATCACTTTACAGTCAATCCTTGACTTATAAATGATCTAGGTCAAAACTATAATAAAGTTCTTCCACAACATACGACTACCATATAATATACTATTTACTTATATATAATATTTCTGTTTGCCCACAGGCAAAATTACTAAGATACTTTTTCAATGCCGACGCAGACGCATTGCCAAAGTGATTTTTGACGTCAAAGAAGAATGAATGACTATTTTGTTGACGTTGGCAAATAAAAGTTGATGAAATGGTTTTGAAAGATACGAAGGTGACTAACTGAATAGTTTATTCAGGGTAATTGGTACATGACATTCAACTAACCATTTACTCGGCTGAAATGGGATAATTTGAAATAAGACTCTTTTCTCTTTTCAAAAACCCCACCCAAATGTGAAGACGTGACCCATACATGTACAGGTATTACTCAAGTTGGTTGATCCTTATTTATTTAAGTTCATAAACAGATATCATATTACCAATATTCAGCCTATTTATATTAGATTTTACAAGTATCAAGTCAAACAAAAGAATTTCCTCCAAATTCTCTTCCATTTAAAGTTTCAGAATTGAACACGACTATCAAAACAGTTTTTCATTTGTTTTGTATATCAGTTATTTTAAAGAACAGAACTCCTTCTGTAGATCCATTTCATACTTTATCAACAAATCCCATAAAATAAATTCCAGTCTTTAACCAAAATTAAATCAAATGTCCTCGGCAAAGATAAAAGTGAAACATCTTAGACCATTAATCGTGTAAAGTTGGTAAGGGCACTCTGATTTCCATTCAATATAAGACTGCTTCTTACTCACCCTGTGTTGTCTTGAAGACAATCTAAACCAAACTAGACAGCGGTCATTTATTAATATTAATATTTTTATATCTTAATCCGAGTAATTGTACTTATACTGAGTGTTTGTATATATGATATGTAAAAATAATGAGGACGTTTATTGAGTAATACAGTTCGATATAGGCCCGTAGAAGATTTTATCCACGGCTGGTTCAATTTGTCAAATTTCCTGCCAACAAGTGAACGAAATGAAATAGCTCCATGGAATGAAAAAGCATCAACCAACACGATATTAACCAAAAGGTGAAGCAAATTATGAAATATTGCGTTTGGCATACCCATGTACATCTTCACAATGTCAAGCTATTGCGAACTAAGTCTAATACCTTGACTGTAATATCCACCTTTCTTGCATTTGAATTTGTTTAATGCAGCGATCTGATTGAAGTGTGCGCCACAAATCATAGACCCAGTCACCCACAATCAAAAGGTCTTTGGCTATTACAGTCAAGGTATTAGACACAGTTCGTAATAGCTTGACATTGTGAAGGTTTGGTCAGTCGTGTCGTGATACCTGACGGCATATCAACCTAACCGCATTTCTTGTCAAGTATGTTTATATAGCGACCAGATATACAAGTTTGCATGGTTGAATTATTTATATACTTACCAAGAATGCTACGGTGTATTTCTTGTACTGTTTGATTCGCATGAATGGATACATTTCGTAAATATTTTGCAGATCTGTCAAATATATTTTGGGTGTAAAAATTTGTATTCTCCTTAATCTTTACCAATTTTTGGTCTAATAAATCATCAAATTATATCTAAGCCTATTATTTAGGAATATTGTAATGTAGAATTTTGATAATAAGACAATTTTACCTCGACATTAACCAACCCAAAAACGTTACTTACATTATAGGTTTCATGACGTCATAAAACCTTAACTATAATCCAGACGGAGGGATTCTATAATTCCATTTAACTTGCCATTACAATAATTAACATGATAATAATAACATTAAGAACGTGTTCCAAATAAGTTACAAGAAACGATCGGGTCTAAAAATATGTTCTTTTGGACATCGGAATAAATGTATTGATGTTTCCAAAGGAGACCATATAAACCTACTTCTAACGCTTTAAATATACATTGTCCGGTTGTCAAGGCGTTCTTTGTACAACAAGTTTAAGAATAAAGGAAGAATAACATCAATACGTTACTTATTTGGACCAGTCTATTAATCGATACAAATCAGATTGGGAATATTAAGATCTATAGCTTCAATTTATATTGATCGATAGATCTACAATCTGAGATGGTAGTATTTACAGTGACGGTAATTTTTGGGCCATCACCCACCCCCTTTGGGACTACGAAAAAGTGAAAATTAAGACCACTAAATGCTAAAAAATTCATCTCCGTCCATCTGAAACACCCAGCACCCAGTCCCCCGCATCGTTGAGACACCTATCAAATTTATTCGTTTCAATGAATAGTGTTTTTAATGAGGCAAACAAAACCACGTTTTAAGTTTAAGGTATTGGATTATGAATCGGTGACTTTAATACCTATTATACATTATTTACACCTAATGTGAACATTATAATAGGCCAACGACTTAAAGCACCTATGTATCAAATATCAGATTGACTGCATAATATCGTCATAATAGCCTACCTATCGAAATTCCCCGTGGCTCAATTACCACAGGGACTAGTTGAACTAAGTCCACCTAAAAGAAAACCATAATAGTTGAATTGAGTATAGATCATTACCACGTACTGTTATGCACAATGGCGTCATTAAATATAATATGTGTATTATTATGCAAGTGAGAATGGTGATATGACATTTAATAGAAAGAAGAGCACCACACGCTAAATTTCAGTGGCGTTTCAAGAAAACATTGGTAGAGGGGAAGCAATCCCGCCACTAGATGAAATGACTAAAAACTTGCAAGTGGTCAGGGGGTGGGGGGAGGTTAAGAGTCTCCCTTTCCCTTACACCCGCCCTCTACTATTATAGTTAAGACAGTACCTTTCAAGCACTTGCCCTCCTTGTAAAATTGATGCAGTAAATTTCGGATAAAAAAAATCTATGTTGCCATTTGCTATACAGTGCGTTTAAAAATAAAATATTGTTGTTTTGATGATAAGGTCTATTTCGCACGTTTTCATGTATATTTATTACGAGTTTATTACAGCTCGCGTCAGTTGAATACTTTCAAAACTCAAGTCACAACTTTCAATATGGTCGACTTTGATTTTCTTAGTGTGTCCACAGTTCTTCTTGGATTGCTGATATTATTGACAGTTGGGTATGTTTTGTCCATGCGAGAAATTCCAGGTCTCCCCCCGGGGCCGTCATTTCTTCCGTTGGTGGGAAACGTGATTGATATGAGTTGGACATATCGAAAGAGGAAACACAAATATTTTGAAGAAATGGAGAAGAAATTTGGACCGGTTTACCGATTATATTTCGGTCGACAACTATTGATATTGTTCAACGATGTGGAATCTGTGAAAGAAGCACTGGTGGAGAAGAGAGATATATTTACAGATAGACCATCGGAGGCGTTTTGGGTCGCTCAGCAAGTACAGAAAGGCGGATCAGGCATAGTCTGGTCCAATGGTCAGCTGTGGGAATATACTCACAGGATGGCTGTTCGTGGGTTCCAAGATCTGGACATTGAAGACAAGGTTTTGGCTGAAACCGAATACATTCTTGAAGAATTTTCTAAATTCCAAAACAAGCCTATGAAACTGGATAAGATATTGATACAGGGTGCCAGCAATATTCTCAGTAATGTGGTGTTTGGTAAACGGTTCGAGTATGACGATCCAGAATATATCAAGATTCTAGCATTTCTGATTAAAGCTTTTGAAGGAGAAGGACCCTTTACGCCATTTAATATGCTACCCCAGTTGCGTTACCTTCCAGTGTTATCAGGCAAATACAAAGAACTTTTAGCTGGTGCTCAATATACTGTATCCTATATTTCAAGAAAGGTTGCCGAGCATAAAAAGACATGGAACAAGAAGGAGAAGACGAGAAATTTGATTGATTATGGACTAACCGCTATGGCTGATTCCAGATCTAAAGAATTTACCGATCTTATATTAACGTACAGCCTTCTAGACCTGTTCTTAGCTGGATCCGATACAGCGGCAAATGCATTGGACTGGTCTTTCCTATATATGATATTACATCCTGAAGTGCAGATGAAGTGCCAAAGAGAAATCTACGAAGTTGTTGGCTTTGGAAAGAGAGTAAAATGGGCAGATAAACAAAAATTGGTGTATTGTTCAGCTACCCTTATGGAGGTACAACGGCTTTCCAATACAGCTATGACCTCACTTCCTCGAACAGCCACAAAGGATGCCAAGATCAAAGGCTACCTTATACCCAAGGGATGTATCATACTAGCTAATACTACTTCTATACATTATGATGAGAAGCTATGGGAAAATCCCAGAGAATTTAATCCAGAGCGGTTCATTGATGGAAATGGGAAGATCATCCACAACAGTAACTTCATCCCCTTCTCCGTAGGACCTCGTGTATGCCCAGGAGCATCTTTAGCCAAGATGGAACTGTTTCTAATCTTCTGCAATGTGTTGCAAAGCTATTCTTTGTCCAATGCTGGTTATTCGAAAATTGATTTAGATGGGGTATTAGATACGACGTTATCTCCAAAGCCATATTCATTGTTAGCTAAAGCTAGAGGCTGATCAATTCATGGCCTATTTTAATTGAATTTTATAAATGATTATATAGTTATAATAATAATAATATATACAGTAACCCCTAAATTTGATGTCAAGGGCCTCAAGTTCTCTTATTACACACTGCATGTCCTTGACTATATGCATTAGCCCAAATCAGGTGCAGAAGTATGAGTTAAACGCCATGTCTTTTCATTTCGATTTTCAATACAGTTAAAGGGAAACAACCGTCCAACGATTACCCTTGCCAGATACAGATCTCAATTTTACCTGTTCAACTTTTCAAGATGAAATCCATAATTAAATAAAATTACAAATTACAAGTGATTTTACTGAAAACTGCAGTGTGGTTCGTTTCTAAATTTGCAGGATAATAGCATTTTAACATTCCTAATTTCAATGCAACATGACTGGAAAAGAGGGCAAACTTGCAGGCTTATAATGTGGCCCGCTTCCAAAAGTTAGGGAATCTTATTTCAAAATACCCACAATGCAGAATGGTCTGATTAGCGCGAGCTCCATGGTCTCTTTCTTTCTTCGTGATTGTGAGAGGGTGGGGTGTGTTGAAAGCTCCCATTACCCACAAGGTCTTCTCTCCTAAGACTTGAAGCCAGTAAAGACGACTTACAATTATATTAGTAGGCCTATGTATATCGTCTAAGTTTGTATATCGTCTAAGTTTGTATATCGTCGTCTAAGTTTGTATATCGTCTAAGTTTGTATATTGTATAAGGCATGAAAGGATATTTATCTCAAAGCAGCTTATTTGTGTACAACTCCATACAAAACAGCCGAACCCTGCTATCTGCAACGCTCTGATAAATTATACTGAATAATGTTTATTTTTAGTATTAGCTCTTAAAGGGGCATTCCACTTTTGTCAGTAACAAAAACGTCATAAATTATACCTGCAAATGTTTCTAAAGTATGCTATATATATATCTATGTATCTACTTGATCAAATTGAATTTGTTTTAAAGGGGTTAATTAAAATTTGAGAGTACTAATTGTTAATTAATTAGCTTGACCTAGTTTCGGTGATTGAGTCAGGCGTATATTTTGCTCAAATAGTAGTTTTCTAACAGCTTGCAAAAAGCATAACGAAATATATAACCTTTTACCTAAAGTTTTGGCGGTATAAAAGTAACTTTGAGATGCGTTATGGGATACATTTCTATAGATTTGGGGTTATAATTTAAAAATTTAAGCAAAAAAAAATTGTGACCTACAAAAAAGCGGAATGTCCCTTTAAGATTTGACAAAAATTACCAGTGGTTTGATAACATATTATTACACTAACTACGGTACATGTCAGGGTTTATATTACAAATTTTAGTTGTACTGAGATCTATTACCGTCTGATCTGCACCACAAATGCAACTAAGGGATCTTAAATTCCCCACGACCCATTCTATAAATTCTAATATTTTTTAGCATGCCATGGCGGAAAATTGGAATGTTGCAATATCAACTTAAACAAACGATCTTCCGGTAAAGTTACGCTAGCGCTCTGCAACAGATTCAGCTTAACGAAAACTGCCGAGGATTGCCGAATAAGACCAAAATACACACGAAAACCTCCTTATACAGTCACTTTAAGATCTAAATCCGTTACGATAGTAGGGTGTTTAAGTGTAAATACGCTTGGTCAGCGATAGATATTTACATATATAATATTGATATCGGACAACAAGCGTTCATATACAGTCTGTACCTCTACATTTCAACAGGATGATCGACTCTGTTGTACTTGATTTTCTTGATGTGTCAACGTTTCTAGTTGGACTATTAGTGCTGTTACTAGTTGGATATGTTTTGTCCAAACGAGAAATTCAAGGACTCCCCCCGGGACCGCCATTTCTTCCGTTGATGGGAAACGTGGTTGATATGAGTTGGACTCATCGTAAAACAAAGCACCACTATTTTGAAGAAATGAAGAAACTATATGGACCTATATATAGACTGTATTTTGGAAGAGAATTGCAGATCATGTTGAGCGATATCGACTCAGTGAACGAAGCATTTGTGACGAAGAAAGATATTTTCACTCATAGACCATCCGAGAAGTTCTGGGACATTAAACAGATAGTTAAACACGGAGCAGGTATAGTGTGGTCCAATGGTCAACATTGGGAAAGTACACGAAGAACAGCTCTTCAAACTTTAAGAGACCTGGGTGTCGGCAAACAATCCATTGAAGAAAAAATACTTGAAGAAACTGAGTATATGTTGACAGAAATTACGCGCCTCCATCGCAAACCTCTCCACCTGGACAAGTTAATGGCTAAGGGTGCAAGTAATGTAATAAGCACCGTGGTGTTTGGAAAAAGGTTCGATTACGATGACCCCGAATTCAACAAAATATTATCATTCATAAAAATGACCTTTGACGCAGAAGGTCCTATTTCGCCTCTTAATATGTTACCGCAGATACGTTTCCTACCATATATATCAGCTATGATAGAAAACTGTTGGTTGATGATTGATGAAATCAACGTTTTTCTGTCTAAAACGATTGATGAGCACAAAAAGACACTAAACAAGGAGAATCCCGGAGATTTTATAGATGTTGGTCTAACCACAATCGCTAATTCCAAAACCACCACACTAACTGATGGCGTATTAATGTGCACCATCCTTGATCTCTTCATAGCCGGATCTGACACTACAGCAACCACTTTAGACTGGGCTTTTCTATATCTAATCCATAAACCAGACGTACAAACCAAATGCCAAAAGGAGATCGAAAACGTTGTTGGTTTTGGAAGACGAGTAAAATGGGCAGATAAACCTACACTCGTATACTGTGCTGCCACTTTAATGGAAGTTCAACGATTTTCCACTGTGGCAATAGCATCACTTCCTCATACTGCCACAGAAGATACAGAAATAAAGGGGTTTCTAATACCCAGAGGAAGCATAGTTTTTGCCGATATACGTGCTATTCATTACGATGAGAATTTATGGGAAAATCCAAGAGAATTCAATCCAGAGCGGTTCATTGATGGAGATGGGAAGATCATCCAAAATAGTAATCTACTTCCATTCTCCTTAGGACCTCGTATATGTCCCGGGGCATCTTTAGCCAAGATGGAGCTGTTTTTAATGTTTTGTAATATTCTTCAACGATATTCCTTTTCTAAAACTGATGATACTGAACTTGATTTAGACGGAGTTTCTGGTATAACTCTGTCACCTAAACCATATACATTACATGCAAAACCTAGATGTCTATAATGTATTTAATGTAGGAAAAATGTGTATACCTCAGTCGACTAGTCTCGGCAGTTTCCGTAAGTGGAACTTTCATGGTGGGCCATTTGATATAGGCCTAAGTTTATGTTTTGATTATATAATCTAAAATTTAGCAGATATCAGTAACGACCTTCCCTCTGGCAACCTAGCTGTCAGCCAATTGGTCGTAATTTTTACCGAAAGTGATTTGCAGTGTACATGAAATTAGCGTGCAGAAAAGATATCTGACGTCAGAATGCCTTACATAAACCCTAAATTACATAAGCATACGTGTAGTGATGAGCCTGACCGATTTAAGTTATGGCGAAAGGGGTATAATGTTACCCCGGTAGTCTCAAGGGTCTAGATAACCCAGTCTATATCTGGAATTGTTGCAGAAAAGTAAGACGTAAAACTCCATTCATTTCAATTTCATTTTGGAATTGTTGTAAATGGGCAAGTGGGATATTCAGCTGCTGTTTTTTCGCTTTCATTGTGTATATTTGAAAAAAAAAATGATATCATTTACCTGTTATTCATTCATTCATTCATTCATTTATTTAACCTATTCAGTTGCTTGATTCGGGTGTATTAATTCCAAAATAACTCAATAAAATTAAAATGCTGTGAACATTATAAGGCTGATGTGAAGTCTTCTTCGTCAATGAAATTTATCCATCTGTTCCACCTTTTGAAAGTCCTTCTAAAAGCAATCCTTGAGATTTATGGAAGCTTAACTTGCGGTTTGCTCTTTAATTGTGTTGCTATAGACGACTAGATGGACAAGATACGCGATTCTTTAAGTGGCATTGATTGGTCTGTATCGAGGTCTAATTTAAGATTGATCAATCAAATCTATAAACAAAACTTATTGTTATTATAATAATTGTTGTCAACAAATAACCAAGTGCTCATCCTTAATTGCACTGTAAGCATATTTTATTTAATCCTTTAATCCAGAAAAAACTTATGGGGCCTAATAATTGTTACCCTCTTGTTTCTCGTCCAAAATTATAATGTTTCATCCAGGGGCGCAGGATATCATGTCCCCCCAGGATTTCTGACGGGGGCGACGTTTCAATCTTTATCAGCCAGATTCTGTCTTGGCCTCTCAGACAGGTATCTTCTAATGCCAATGGCTTCTAATGTATCACCTCATATCGAACTGCTACACACAGCTAGGCGTAAAGAAATCTAGTTGCAGATCACCTAGACTGATCAGTATTTTATCTTTGGTAGAAATAGTCCGAAACATTTGCCTCTAGTCCAGTCTCTGCCAGCTGTTTCGGTCTAGTAGGCGTACAGATTCTGTTTTTGAGGCACACAACACTATCTTATGCGGCAGTTTTGATATTGCTCGGTAGTGAAAAGTCTTCTTCCTGCCTTTGAGATGTAAACAATAAATATAAATAAGAATGATTCACACCGGATTTTAAGGATATTGTCGACGTAGATCAAGCTGACATAATGTGAAGGTGGGCTTCTTAATTTAGTTTTTTTAATTTCACTAATTTGGCAGTTGTGCCTGTACACTGGACGGGGAACTTGAAGTTGACTGTCTTTGAGGAAAAGTAGGTGTGTCTTCTCCAGACCACAATGAGTTACATGTTTGTCTGTCTTACTAATTCACAAACAAAAAGGCCTTAGGACTTACAACTTTGATGGTGCTTGGCTGAAAATAATTGGAACTTTTCATTTGAGCAGCCTTGCTGAAATTGAACAGTCAATGAGTTAGATTTAAGTCAAGTCTACGAATTTTTACTACGCTCAGAATCTTTTTACTACGCTCAGAAGTAGTAGTTTTTATTTTCTCTTTTTTTTTTAAATTTTAGACTCATGTTTAAACTTATAAGAAATAATATTTTAAGAAAGGGTTACGTCATGGAAAAAGTGACAGAAATTACAGTTCATCCAGACACAGATAGACCAACTAAGGCCTGGGAAAAGATCAAAGTTCAACAGAAACAGAGAAAAATCAAACCAATGGACTCGACTACGCCTATTAGTGAGGATAAAATACGTTTTGTGTGTATATCAGACACCCATACAGTGTTAGAGAAAACTCCAGATTATCATCTGCCTCCTGGTGATGTTTTGATACACGCTGGAGACTTTTCAAACATCGGTAGACCTAATGAAATTCAAAGGTTTAATACTTATTTAGGTAACTATGTTGATTTGATTAGGGTTATGAACTCAGATATTAATATGGATATTCAACCTGATTTGTAGTATGTTGTTTGGAGATGGTTTGGTCTATGTTCCTCTTTAGTTTAATGCCAGCAATTAGATCAAAATATGAGGTAGTGATAAAACAAAATTAAACCTCTGCCACTTTTGTTAGGTTTGGTCAGTAGTTTCATTTGAAAAGGCTGTTTAATAGCAAACAACTGAATTTAAAGAGATGCAGTGGCATTTCCATGAATCATTTAGTGAGTGGAGAGGCCACAGAATTCAAAGAGGCTCACAGAAAGTTGAAGAGAAAGCTGCACCAGTCCCATTTCTGGCCCCTTCCTTAAAATGGCCACTGAAGTTGTTTCAGTTCTGCTATATTCTTTAAATAAATTTATCTTTTCATTAAAGGGATTTTAAAGAGGTTTTCTAAATTCTTTATGTGTATCAGGGATACTGATAGCTTCAATTTTCACCATTCCAATTTTCATTCCGACGTCATGTGTTTTATGATGTCACTAGAGGGGAGCTACCGGAAGCTACTATCTATGCAGTTCCCCTCTAGTGACATCATAAAACATGTTAATTTTAGTGGAATTGCAAGAACCACAGATTGATTGGAATGAAAATTGAAATGGTGCAAATTGATGCGATCAGTGTCCCTGATACACATACAAACCTCTTTACAATCCCTTTAAGCAAAACTAATCCAAAAACTTTCATTTTAGGTACTCTACCATATAAAGTAAAAATAGTGATAGCTGGAAACCACGATATGACTTTTGATGCTGAAATGGTAGAGAATCATAGAGCCAGAATGTTTCATTCCTTTTGTATTACCACAGCTGTATTAGAAGATAAACTGAAAGAATACAATATCTCAAGTGTTAAAGAATTGTTAAAGAATTGTATTTATCTTGAAGATCAAGAACTGACATTATGTGGTATAAAATTTTATGGAACTCCCTGGTAAGGTTAATTTGGTGTATTTACTTATTCATGTGGACATTACCTATTAGGGCTGGGTATCGATTTCAAAATTGAGATCAATTATCAATGGCAGACTACCAATCAATAATCGATTAATAATAAAAATAATTCAATGGAGAAACCCTGTAAATACTAAAAGAAAAACATGCCGAAATTCTTAATTTCATTGGTAATAAGTATATTCTTGCTTTGATTGGTTATTATAGTTTATTGTATGTATTTACTGGAACCAAAGACAACTGACAGAAAATTGGAATGATACAAACAGAAACTTCATAAAATACTCCATGTGCTTGTTAAATATTTTTTTTTATTATTTTAGGCAGCCTGAATTTGGTGGTTGGGGTTTCAATCTAAAACGTGGTCGAGAATGTTTAGATAAATGGAATCTTATACCAGATAATACTGATATTTTAATAAGTCATGGTCCTCCTATAGGTAAGACATTAATTTTGGATAATTTTTGCAAAGAAATGGGTTTTAATGTCCTCCCAACTGGATTTAAGAAACAGGAAATGCTTACCATGTGCGATGAAGGAAATTTTGTCAGTACTGCAACATTAGACAAATATTTTTCTATTTAAGCATTGGCAGACTTAATGTATGAAGCCTCAGTTCATTGTTTCGAACATATTAGTCTATATATTAAAGTCTATTTTTTATATGTATTTAGGTTATGTGTTTGATATATTAAGGTTATATTTTGAAGTTTATGTGTTTGATATATTAAGGTTATATTTTGAAGTTTATGGGTTTGATATATTTAGGATATATTTTGAAGTTTATGTGTTTGATATATTTAGGTTATTTTTTTAAGTTTATGTGTTTGATATATTAAGGTTATATTTTGAAGTTTATGTGTTTGATATATTTAGGATATATTTTGAAGTTTATGTATTTGATATATTTAGGTTATATTTTGAAGTTTATGTGTTTGATATATTTAGGTTATTTTTTGAAGTTTATGTGTTTGATATATTTAGGTTATTTTTTTAAGTTTATGTGTTTGATATATTTAGGATATATTTTGAAGTTTATGTGTTTGATATATTTAGGATATTTTTTGAAGTTTATGTGTTTGATATATTTAAGATATATTTTGAAGTTTATGTGTTTGATATATTTAGGATATATTTTGAAGTTTATGTGTTTGATATATTAAGGTTATATTTTGAAGTTTATGTGTTTGATATATTTAGGTTATTTTTTTTTAAGTTTATGTGTTTGATATATTTAGGTTATTTTTTTTTAAGTTTATGTGTTTGATATATTTAGGTTATTTTTTTAAGTTTATGTGTTTGATATATTTAGCTTATTTTTTTAAGTTTATGTGTTTGATATATTTAGCTTATTTTTTTAAGTTTATGTGTTTGATATATTAAGGTTATATATTAAAGTCTATTTTTTTAATAAATTTAGGTTATCTGTTTGATATATTAATGTTATGTATTAAAGTCTATTTATTTAATAAATTTAGGTTATGTGTTTGATATATTAATGTTATGTATTAAAGTCTATTTTTTTTAATAAATTTAGGTTATGTGTTTGATATATTAATGTTATATATTAAAGTCTATTTATTTAATAAATTTAGGTTATGGAGATAAATGTTTTGGAGAGAATAGAGCAGGATGTGTTGAATTACTATCAACTATACAGAAAAGGGTACAACCTAAATATTTGGTCATATATTTGTCCCCATTTCTACATTTTTTTACCCTAGGATATTATTATGACATTGTAAATTATTTGATATATATAAACCCCCAATTGCACACCCCTGCCCTATCTTTTTATAGACTACTTAAAACAGTCATCAGTCTTGTTACAAACACAAGCAAGACTGATGTTACTTTAAGTGTTATCTATGAATAAAGTTATTCCGATGTAGAGAATGGTGGTATGGTCTCTCATTTGGCTCACTATAATTTATTTTCTTGTTTAGATGGTAATAGGAATAAAGGAAAATGTGTTTTATTTTTGGCTTCATGATACGGTAATAATTTTTTAGAACTTAGATCACACAGTGTGAAACTTAACAACATATTTCAATTTATTTTAATTTTTGACTTTTCAGCTTATGGAGTTACTACAGATGGCAGAACAACTTATATCAATGCATCAACATGTACTTTACGTTATAAAGCTAGTAATCCACCAATAGTATTTGATTATCCTATACCTGATGGACATACTAAATCAGAATTATTAAATTTCCGAAGATAAACTTGATGAACTTGTTGATAAAGTGAGAAGTATTAAAAAAATGCACGGATTATTTTAAAGTTATTTAAAATGAGCCCCTTATTCTTTTAAAGGACTATGGCTGCTCAAAATATGTGGACATTTCTAGATTCAAATTGTTTTTGTTTAAAATGTACAAACCTAAAAAGTTAAATTATTCCAATTAACATCAACAAAAATGGCAAATTTACCATTTGAGAGTTCAATTTTCAATGTAAGGACAGGAATTAATTCTGGTAGTGATTTGTGCATGTAAATAGATGGCATCATATTTTAATTTTATTTCAGCAATGTTCAATGCAATATCTGTGATATATAACCAATTGAAATTAGAAAAATTGTTTTTTTTTGATATTTCACTTAGTTCCTAATGGAATTCTTTTAAAAACTGCTGATTTGCCAAAGAAATTCTAGTTCATGTTCAAGGCTGTATGTTGTGCCACAAGTCCTCATTTATGAACATATAATATGATTAAAAACAAGTAAGTTTTCATTCTTTTATTATTCCATATATACAATATTATTTGTAATATATCAACTTTAGTTAGAAGTTTGATCATAATATACTTAAAGAAACAGATTTTTTTGTTTTTTTTTTGTATAAAAGGACTGATATAGTTTCTATTTGCATCATTCTTAATTATTGTCTAATTTCGATGGTTCCTGTAATTCCCACCAAAACTTCACCAGGTTATGATTGACATGAATGATATTTGTGATAGTGGGCCAGAGTCTAATTTTGCCAGGTTTTACTGGAACCATAGAATCTGCAAATATAATTTATATTCAATACATATACAAAGCTAGAAAAAATATTTTGATTGCTTCAAAATTACAGGCATTGCCAAGCTTTATTACTTGATTAAATCAGAAAGAAGATTCACAGAAGAACATGGAACAAAAGTTGCATGCAGATATGAAGAATTAAGCTTTGCAGATTGACTTCAATTATGTTAAAATGTATATCACTAACCTTATAATGTGTTAATGTGTTTTGATATTAAATTTTTACTGTTTAAATATGAAATAAAATTGTTAAAATGTTTTCATAATGGTTAGATTCTTTAAATACATACATGATTATTCATAGTGAAATTCATATAAATCAACATAGAATTCAGATTATACCTTTTAATAAAGGGATTGTAAAGCGGTTTCTAAAATTGTTATGTATATAGGGAACACTGATAGCATCAATTTCCACCATTCCAATTTTCAAAGCTGAGCATTGTATGACGTTACTATCGCAAAGGTCCTTATAACAATAGCAGTTCTAGTGATAGTGACATCATAAAACTTTTAGTGGAATCGCAAGAACCAAAGACGACCAATTGGTTTGTTGCAAATGGATACTATAAATGTCCACAAGGTTTAGAAAACCTTTAAAATCCCTTATAAAGAAGTAAATTGCATGATGTTGTAAACCGAGCAGTTTCCCACATTGCACACTGCTTGGTGACAAACAATAATAGAAATTAAAAATTTTTATCAATTGTTAATTATTTCATAATAATCCATATTAAATAGGAGGTAAAACAGAAAAGGCCCAATGTTAAAATTAATCCGAAGAATAAGTCTAATAAATGTTCCCCAACCCACTTTGCAGCCCATTCAGCATACTGAATTAGCAATTTGCCTTGGCACTGGGACATTGCCTTTCATAGTTACAAAATTTGCATAATATCTCACAATATATAACAATTCATCCCCGAGAAACCTATAATATGCTTAACAAGTAACCTGATAGATATTTGGTTTATATGGAATATGTCTGGTCCTGAAAACCCATCTTGATATAAGAATTACTGAGATATGTATATAAAATCACACCCTAAATACTAAGTTCTGAGAATGGAATTCAAATCAGGATTCTGACAAAAGATTCAGTAAGTATTTCTCAACTTCGGATCTGTTAGATAATTTATTTGCTTTTCCTCTTAATCTACCTCCACTACAGGCTCCTTTCCCTTCTAATAACTCCATAACTCTGAAATAAAATATGAATAAGATAATTAAAGGGAGGGGGTTTGCCATTTTCAGCAGTTGACTTGAGTATTGAATAGATCTAAATACCGTCACTGCATGAAAATCGCATAATTCCTTCAAATATACCTCAAACTAAACATTTTGCTCTCTTTGTCTTTTCTATGTATGTCTTTTCTATATATGTCTTTTCTATATATGTCTGAGTCTAAAAAAAAGACGAGTCTTCACTTTAAGTTAAACACAGATAATTCTGGGATTTGAAGGCTCAAATTATGAGTTGTGAACACTTTTACCGATAAGCTTAGCTAAAAAATTCCCACTTCTGAGACTAACCATGAACCACGAACAATCCACTCTTTTTTCTGATTGAGTAGAGCTCATCTCATGCTTTAGGCAAAAGTTACAGTTTTAACAGCTATTTTACTATGGATATTTAATTTCAGTAGGAAAGACCTATAACCAGATTAAGTACAATCACTGAACTCCATTACAAAGTCAACATGACAATATTTTACAATTTGAAATTCAGAGGTTTTTGAAAAATTTTGGATCATATGATTAATAACAGTTGACTTACTTTTTTTGAGCTTGAGTTAGAAATTGTGGAGGTCCACACAGTAAAAACATTCCAGAACCTTTCTCTTCTCCAGTGGTTAGAAAACAGGGTGTATCCTGTAACAAAATAATTCATGTTTTACTATAGCTAGGCTAATGAAAACTAGGATGCAGTTTCCTGACTGTCTCATTTAACTACTTTATTTCTAATTTCAACTTGATTTTTAACTTACACAACCTGTTGTTGCACAGAGTGCCACTAGTTTATTGTCCTCTCTGCTTTCATATACATATTACCCTTCATGTTTGGTATCCAAGGGTAACTTTGATTGAACCTCAATGGTTAAGCTATTGCTAATGGAGAAATGACGCACTTATCTCCAGTGCACATCTCAAGTAATCAAATTTGATTGAGTCTATGCAATATAAGGCACTTTTAAACCATACATAGGCATTCCCTTCGGCCATGTTAACTCTCCAAATAGCACCAGTCGGACCTGAGCTTCTAATGACTCAAATATTATGTCACATGAGTCTCAACTCTAGCCAACCTCCAGTCAAACCAGACCTCTTATCAAAGACACCCTAAGACATATGGTATAAGAGTTCAAAGACTTCAGAATGGGCTTGATACCTTGAAAAGTAATAAAAACAAACTTACATCTTCTATTTCTGTAGCAATAATATTCATATATTCATTATCTCCTTCTTTTCTGTATAAATAAACACGTACCGAAAAGAATCAAATGCAAAATCTAAAATAATTTCGTACATCAGTATGAAAAGCTTAGCTTTCCTAGCTTAGAAAATTCGTAATTAAATGACAGAACAAATAAAATATAAACAAATTCTACTTACCTATGGATACTATATAACGGAGGTTTATCTACCATCATATTAAACAATCTAGCCTCCATTACAGCTAAATCACGTAATAGATTGGTACACGACTGAAATAGTAAACAATAAATTTTCTTTCTCTGTAATCCTTCAACCAAGAAATTTATAGTTGGGTTCCCTTATTTTCATTTATAAAACGAAAGTGCTAATACTTATATGAATAGAAAGTAGAGATGTGCTAATGACTTGAAAAAATACCAGTTTGTCTCACATGTCCATAATTAATTCATAATTAGCTAAATTAGAAGAGGATTACGAGTAGAATTCCAATAAGTGACCGATCAAGAAAGGTCAAAAAGTATTACATGTACATACATGGACATTTATGATTTCTTAAGTTTGAAAGATTGGTATTTCTGTAACAAAACTAATTTTTTTACCTTTTGTGATGCTTTTAAACCTTTAATAGCTTTATCTGCTAATTCTACTTGTTTATCTAATGGTCCACTGTAAAAATACAATTTTAAACATTTCAAATTAAGAGTTTTTTTACACTACAATTGATCATTGACAAGCTACAACATCCACAGAGCTTTATCAAAATTACACTATATAAAAAGTATGCTTATAGTCAAAGTTTGCAAAAAAATTAACAGCCAAATTTTGGGTCAATTTTTTGGAAGATAAGTTTGTTTCTATTCAATGTAAACTTATCAAAATTTATATGTGCAACCAATTTTGCAACCAGTTATTCAAATGATATGTCATGCTAAAATCTATATAACCCAGTTAACAAAATATATGCAAGACATAATTCTTCACTCCTTTTTTGTGGCTTTTAATCAAACTTACTTTAGAATTGGTGTTAAGGCCTTTTCTACACTGTAACTTCTACCTAAATAGTCTAATACTCTTTTCCCTGCTACAAACACTAAATTTGTTTTTCCTTTTTTACCCTTTTCACCTCCTAATAACTTTATACACTACAAAATATCAAGTTCTTGTTTCAATATATCACAAATACAATAATCTAATATTATCACTGTTAAAATAGTGCTCAATCCATCAATTGTAGAGCAATATAGAAATACCACTGTTAAAATAGTGCTCAATCCATCAATTGTAGAGCAATATAGAAATACCACTGTTAAAATAGTGCTCAATACATCAATTGTAGAGCGATATAGAAATACCACTGTTACAATAGTGCTCAATACATCAATTGTAGAGCAATATAGAAATACCACTGTTAAAATAGTGCTCAATACATCAATTGTAGAGCAATATAGAAATACCACTGTTAAAATAGTGCTCAATACATCAATTGTAGAGCGATATAGAAATACCACTGTTAAAATAGTGCTCAATACATCAATTGTAGAGCGATATAGAAATACCACTGTTAAAATAGTGCTCAATACATCAATTGTAGAGCAATATAGAAATACCACTGTTAAAATAGTGCTCAATACATCAATTGTAGAGCGATATAGAAATACCACTGTTAAAATAGTGCTCAATACATCAATTGTAGAGCGATATAGAAATACCACTGTTAAAATAGTGCTCAATACATCAATTGTAGAGCGATATAGAAATACCACTGTTAAAATAGTGCTCAATACATCAATTGTAGAGCGATATAGAAATACCGCTATTAAAATAGTGCTCAATACATCAATTGTAGAGTGATATAGAAATACCGCTATTAAAATAGTGCTCAATACATCAATTGTAGAGCGATATAGAAATACCACTGTTAAAATAGTGCTCAATACATCAATTGTAGAGCGATATAGAAATACCACTGTTAAAATAGTGCTCAATACATCAATTGTAGAGCGATATAGAAATACCGCTATTAAAATAGTGCTCAATATATCAATTGTAGAGCAATATAGAAATATCAAAACAGACCTTGAAAAATGTTGTTACTTGGTGTTTCGCGCAATGTGATCTTTAGACAATATACATATATCAGACGTCTTTCCTACCAAACTAAAAAATTTTTATTGCCCACTTATCTGACAGCATCAAAAGCACATGAAAACCTCAAAAGGATTCAAACATATGTTTGATAGTTGTAAAATAAAGTCGATATGCTAAAGACATTGTTAAAAGTATGATTATGAACGAAAAAAAGATATACCTATATGTATTTCAAATAAAGCTTGTTTTTAATATTCTATGAATGAGTAAAAAAAGAGAATTTTTTTACAAGGCTAACAACTCGAGGATATTCTAGCTTATCTATAACATTGATCTTAACTGTCCTTTCCATCCCCTACTACAGCTGAGTTGACTGGAATACCAGATGACTATAAAAAATCTCATGAAATTATGACATGAAACTTACTTGTAAATGTGAAAGAGAAGACAGATGTGTACCACAACATAAATTATTATCAACATCTTCTATTCGGACCACTCTTATAGGTCCTACATGATCAGCAGGTAGACCTCGACATGATGCCTATAAATATATAGCAATACATACCAGTAACTGATTGTGATACCACATTATTGTCTGGCAAACTCAAATACCTTCATTTTAGACGAACAAAGCTTTTAGGGAAGCCCAGTGTACTTCAATACTACACATTGATTTTATCAATTACTTAAAGGTATACTATCTCTTAGACTGGACATAAAGTCTCAAACCAACATCAGTTGGACTTACCAGGTGCCATGACTAAAGAGTAGAATCTCTATATAAGACAATACATGCAAAAACTAAATAATTATTGAAAAAAAACACTTCTAAACATGTTTCAAAATTACTTAGTTTGATGAATTATTACTTAGTTTTAAAGATTTATTGTATTATAGAGCAATTCTGTATCCTCCAATATCTTTGTTCTCATATAATTGTAAAACAAATCCACCCATCAATAAAACAAATTTACCTTTTTCCACTCAGGATCATCTTTATCATAAAAAAGTTGTGGTGTAACAGATAGTCCTGCTAGTATCTTCTCATTTACTGTATCTTCTAATTGTTGAAGGTCTTTATCTTTAATTTCTGGTGTATCTAGTTCAATAAAAGATGTTTTTTCACCCAAATTCCTGAAAAAAAAAATTCGCAGCCATAGATTCTGCTCGATCAAATAAAAGACAATTGGATCAAATCGACTTCTCTAGAATATAAGAACAAAGGAAGAAGAACCCTTTATCATATGTGTATGGCCTGACTGGTTTCGTTCAAGTTGAACTTTTCAGAGGCAACTAAGCAGGAGTCAATCCTTGACCTCTATTAATGAAAAAGGACAGTTCGTTTTGTGTCAAATGTAGAGGCACTTTGGAATATACTTTAGATGAAGACAACAGTCAGAGAATCTAGAGATAATGACATTTTGAATAGAACTCAATAATATTATATAAATGTTACATTTCAGCACAAAATAGTAATAACTGGTATTTGAGTAGCAGTTATTCAAAATTTATTGTAGAATACTAAAGAAATCTTACCATGATGTAGTTGAAAAATTAAATATAGATTCAGCCAGTGCAGATATTAAATGTTGTCCTGAAATAACAAATTACCTCCCTTTAGTCTCCCAACATTAATACAAAAGATATATCTGCTTACAGCTGGGTGATATACCAATATAGAAATTAATATAGTTGGTAATATCACTTCATCTAATATCGCCATATAATGTTAATTAAATCTAAACACAATTACAACCAAAATACTTGGGACTGATGTTTTTTTCATGAAATTTTTTTTAAAATCAGTAAAAACATACTTAAAAAATACACTGATACATACTCATATTTTGTGATAAATGTATGATAAATATCGCCCAGACCTACAACTTATATTAGTAAAGATCCTAAACATATAGTAAAGACACCTTCAATTTTGCTTTGTTATTCTTCTATCTGATGAATATAAGTACAGTATTTTTCTGTTTCTTGTTCTTGCTTATTTTAGAGAATCAATGACCATTTCATGCCATAAATTTAAGAAATCTAACCTGTGTGTTGTTGCATATGATCAAATCTTCTATGCCAATCAACTTTTATATGAACATCTTTACTGACTTCCAAGTCTGTTTCTGTAAAATGCACAGCTTTATCACCTCTTCTAGTTACTTTTAATACTGGTATATCATTCAGCTATAATACAGACAATATAATAATATATGATAAACCAATAAGGATCAAGTAGTTTTTCAGCTTACAAACCAATGGAATGCTGATTCAGCTTGATGGAAATGGCTGAGCACTGTCAATTAAATCAATTACCGGTAATCTATAAACTTTAAGCTCTTGCGTGCAATACTGATTGAATATTAGCTGAAGAACAAACAAAAAATACTCAGGCAGGGTATGCAAAGTATTTCAGAACACCTGAAGTCACTATGCAACTCAGTTCTTCAACACTGTTTTCCTACAATACCTATAGATATTTTTTTTTGTTTATGTATCTATTGTTGCCAGGCACATGATTGCAGTGTGATGTTCTTGCTTTGGCTGATTTATAAATTGACTGATTTAATGAAAACAAGACATTTGAACTAACTGTGCCTAAATCATATGGTTGACCTCCTCCTTCTGGAAATAAGATTGTGTCTTCTAAAATCACTTCAAAACCATTAATCTTAGACTTTTTACCATTGATTATCATCTGACATTGAGCTTTCTCACAACAAACTACTTTGCTATTCAACTGTAAGATAATATTAAAGTTTCTAACCCAACAAATCTGGCCCTTCCATTCCTCACACATGATAAACAGGTTTTAGTAAGTAAGAGCACTGATTTTTATACTGTCTGATAAATTATCAGATTTTGTTTGCAGTTCTCTTCTACAAATAAAATGACTAGTTTTCTGCTTATAGTTCAGCAGTACAGACTACAGAGTATGGGGTGGCTTAATGGGCTAAATAATCATTATCCTTATCATGCACCTTGATGATATTGGATCAATATTTCAACGACATTTTGTCATTGAATTGAGATCTTGGTGGATAATGTGTGGCTTTCTTCAGTGACATCATCATCATGTCAGACAGGCAATCTTTTCGTAGATTAAGTTTATGAATGCAAAGCATTCACTTATAAAGTGGTATAATTCCTTTTAATTGTATAGCAATCATAGCTATATTTTACTCGTGGTAAACAAGGAAAGAAAACAAATTGAAAGTAGAGAATTATGCAATCACCTCTTTCAGGTAACTATCTTTTTGGCAGGACAGTGCCATTATTCTGTTGTATTAAAACTTAATTTACGAGTTTAAACACAAACAGAATACGATAAGAAACAACTGTACGATTTGAAATAGTGCCAAAAGGCAGCAAAAGAGTCAGACTATCTTTAATGTCAGACTTTTTTCCACCATGAAATGTTTCAGCGCGGTGCATTCTGGGTCACACGCATGCGCAAAAGACGTCGGCCATTGCTGATAAATATATGCAAAATATATTATTAGATTTCTAAAATTGAATATTTGTTATGTTATTGTGAATTTGATGTTATTTTAACTATGGATTATTGAATATGGGTTGCTTATTTGTTTTTCTATATGGTACGTATGCCCCATGCGGTTGAATCATTGATTATTACTTGGATTAATTAGCAAGCACCTGCCTGGATTGGAACGCCAAACGGTGTCTGTGCTTCTGCCCGTCCTGTTTCAAGTCTGGCCCTTTTTAAGACCGTCCCGTATGGGAATCAATTAAGACGTAGATGCGTGAATTTCCTCGTCGATGCCTAATGTTATTTAATCTTACTTAATCAAGGTCCCTTGCATTTTAAGATTGTTCTGGCTTCGATACTGATTGATAGGATACTGTATATTTGAGCTTTTTGAGTGGCCTACAACTTGACAACTGTCAGTCATTGACTCTGTGTCACTTGCACAGGCTACAATAACCCTTGTAAGAATAAAGAACAAAAACAGTGGACTGACACTGGCCATTGATTAACACTGGCAATACATCAATTTATAATCTACGGACAGGAGCTCATCTCATACTGACATGTTTATTAGGAATCTTTTTAATTACAGCTGGTTTCTACTATAACATACTGATACCTTTAGCATAAGCAAAATCATTGAATAGGATTGAGAAATATGTTGCTGTAGTAATTTCAACATCTTTTCTATTATCATTTGGGAATATAGTTCTACATGTATATTAAAATTTGATTAAGTTAGTTATTAGGTGTATTTCAGCTTAAGCTTATAGAATTTAGCTTCAGCTACTGTATAGGCCTACCTTTATTCCTGAATATCTTATTTGTTACTCTTCAATGAAAGCTACTTTTTCTAATAGCCAGTAGAGATGATCTATGCTAGTTTAATGTCACCTGTTTATACAGGCCTTTGTTTATTTATTTTGTTTGTTTTTATTTTCAGATTAGAAGACAAGATATAATTCAAGAAATAGCAGCTTAATTGGAATATTTATTTTTATGAAATGAAAATGAAAGAACTGAAAAGTGTTGCAGACTTTGATGCTTTGGAAGTGAACATTGACTTATTTGGAGACTAGAAAATATCACAATAGAATGAATGCTGGAAATGGTTCCAGACAGAATCAGCATGTTGGGGGTAGAATTCAGCAACAGATTCCAGTCCAGGGAAATCCAAACCTCTGTCAGTTTCAGTATGTTGGTATGCCTATACATCATCAAGGATTAAAAAACAACCAGTTCAGTCCAAATCAGATGCATAATCATGGATACATGGGTCAGCCACAGCCTGGCTGTGTTCAACAACCTGCTGGTCAGGCTTCTTTTCCAGTGGCTACCAATATGGCTACACCATTGGTGACAGGGACATTTCCAACAGCTGATATTTTGGCCAACTTTAATCAGATAGGACCTCCTAGACAAAACTTGCAATATAAAACTGTGAATAATTGGACTAATCCATCCCCTCAAAGTGCTATGACCTTACCAAGTATTGGAAGTTTATGGTCACATTTTCAACAACAACATAATAAACCAAACACCCCACAACAACAACAGCAAACTGTAAACCCCCAGCAACTTACATATCTTCCTGCCCAACCACAGCAACAGTTTATCAACACTGGTGATGGCTTGACATTATGTGGAAACCCAAACATACAATATGGCTTGAACCAGACTCCAGGAACTGTAAACCACAACCTTAACTACAGTGGCTTTGTCATCAACCGTTTACCACAAGCAGCTCAAAATCCACAAATTGTCAACACCAATCAAACTGGTATCACGATAGGTACACACCAAACAATGCTTCAAACAACCAATCTTCCACCAAATTCTGTCAGTTTGCCTCCTCAGCAATCAGTTCATCCTGCAGGTTTATCTCAAAACCCAATTCAAGTAGTTAACACGGAAGCAATGACTTTTACCACAGCTAGTGTTGCTTTTAGCTCAAACCAAGTGACAATACCTACAACAACAGTGACTTTAACATGCAGTACAAGTGCACAGGTGACAGAAACTGCCACAGTTCATTCACAAATTCCTGTGACATCAGTTCTCTCCCCTGCTTCCACCCCACAAGATGTTAAACCACAAGTCTCTTCATTATCCTCCCATAACAGTTGTGTGTCAAGTCATAATAATAGTGACATTACTAGTGTTAAAATACCATTTGGTTGGAAAAGAGTAGTTGAAGATGGAGAGATAGTTTACTACAGGTAAGTTTCCTAAATCATTTTTTGCATTACATTTAAAAATATTCATAAAAGATGTATGGTAATAACTTCTTACCTAGTGTGGGAGAATATTTGACAAGTGATATTGAGTGGAGTTTTATTTCCTTCTTTAAGAATATAAAAGTACAAGATTGTTTTGTCTTTTTGCTCAATCGAATAGCGGGATAACTGTAATAAATACAGATATTGAGCACAAAATTTCATTTTTGGTGACCTTTCCAAGGTTCCACTGAGTGTCTATATTACCTTCACACATCTACAGCTTAACTAAAGTTTTGTAAGCTGAACTTTTTTGACTGGCAAGGTTACTTTTAGCCTTGAAAAAGCAATGATTTAAAATAGATTTTAAAGGGACGGACAGGTTCAGCATCCGTTTGACAAATTGTAGAGAAACTGGAATTTTTTAGCTAAGCTAATTAGTAATAGTGTTTAAAGCTCACTGTCGAAGTTTGTCCAGAATTATCCATGTTTTAAAGATAAAATGACGTCTCGTCTTCTTTTGAGACTCTGCCATTTAGAAAAGACATATAGAAATAAAAAGTGAAATTTGAGGTATATCTGAAGGGATCAAATGATTTTCATGCAGTTTTAGTACCATACCGGTACTCTAAAGACTATCTAGATATTCAAGAACCAAATTAAACCCCTCAAAATGACCAAAAATGGCCTTTAAGAATTTTAATGAAATATTTTTTCAATGTTTTTTTTCAGCCCAAGTAATGTCAAGTTAATCAATAAACAAGAAATTTGTAAATACCTGTTAGTGGAAGGAACTTGTAAATGTGGACTAGAATGTCCTTTGTTAGTGGATAAAGTTTTTAATTTCGATGAAAATGTAGTAGGTCAGTTATGGAGTGTAGAAGAAAACACCAGTACAAAAGACTTGTCTAATTTGTGTAATCATAAACGGAAGATTATTGCTTTAGCCAAATTTCAACAAAGTCAGGCTTTACAAAACGCATGTCCAGTAGAGTCAGAGGAAAAAGGTAGGTGTTAATTTGTGATCATTTTTACATTTCTTAGTAAACTGTTATAGCCTGTATCCCTATGTCAATGAAATATTGTCCGTTGAAAACAAAAAAGATGGTTATGTGTTCACGTTTTCATTAGCCACACACAATAGACAATGTTCATGAAACATTGCGAACTGATATGCCACTTTTTCACATGACTTTTGTCTCTTATTTCCACAAGGTTCAAATATAATTTTGTTTCACGTGATTAGATATTATATGTTGATTGGTTGAGGACAGAAAATGTTTTTATTCAACGCACACACCAAACTCAAAACATTTGTTGGCGAAAAACATTTTTTCAGAATTCAAACGAGGTTGATTTTCAAACAAAAACAATGCTTTTTAACGCACATGACAGACTTTTTCAAGAAACAATGTTCCACGGCTAAAAAGATGACTTCAAAGCAAAAATCTAAAACTGTAGTCTTTGATTTGTTTTGAAGCGACAAATATTCATTTATTCTAGTTGTCCATGTCAAATGTGATTAGGATGAACATGTCATTCACATTCTCTGCATGAGTACAGACTACAGATCCATTTACAAAAAATTTATGTCAAATTATGGCTGCCATTTGCATTTTCTTTATGTGCAGCTGCCTTTTAGAGTTTTGAGTTTACTATTTAAAATTGTCTGTTAATCTATGATTGCAATGCAGCTTTATTTTACTTACTATTATGATTTAAGTATTTGGTAAGTTCATGAACACAAGTCTACATCTCATCTCATCAAATGACAATGAAATGTAATGTGCTTTCAGCTTCCACCTTCAAGATATTAGGGTCACATTTAACACTCATTTGGTATTTACTCATGTACATGTTGCTTTAAATGATTATCAATTTCATGTTTTCTTTTTAGCTGAAGCTGAAGTGGACCAGAAGACTGAAGGTGCATGTTCAAGTAATGATCCAACAAAACTTACAGCAAGTCAAAATGCGAGACCAAATATCTTACAGAATTATGGAACTGAACATCCTTTCAATATTCCTCCGAATATAATTGGACAAAATCATCGCATGCCAAAATTTATGGATATGCCACCAATCCAAATGAATCCTTTTGAAGTTGCAACAAAACCCCGTGCAGTAAGGAAGCGTAAACCTAGAGCTAAGAAGTCTCGGACCCCAGATCCTGCTGCAGATTTAGGTCCCATTACTTGTCATGTTCCTCAAAAATTAGATTTTAGTCAGGAAAGTCATTTAAATTACCGTTTAAAAGTGGATCCCATGAGCTGTCATATGCAGCCATCTTTAAGTCCAAATGACTATCAGCAAGGCCTTGTTTCTCCACAAGGTCTACTTTCTCCTCAAGGACTTGTTTCTCCTCCTTCTAATGTGTTCAGTCCTCAGTCTCAAGGAATGAAAGCACCAGTTGTGTTTCAAAATTCAAACCAAGGGAATCCATTATCTTCAGGACATTTTATGGAACAAGTTCCTACTTCTACCATGTCTACGGCCAGCATGCTGTCTCAATTTCAAGTTCCTCTCAGTGTACAGTCAAATAATAACTTGATGTTTCAGCAGATGATGCCAGCCCATAATCCTCTATCGCCACGTTTGGTCAATAATGAAATGTATAATCCTAATAATCCATACCAACATAATGCTTTATTTAATGTTAACTCAAATAACTATATCTATCCACAAATGTCAGACATGCTGTGGATGGACACAAATGGAAAACCAAAGAGTAAACGCCCAAGAGGCAAAAAGGATAAGCACAAGTTAAGCAGTATTGTAGACAGAACGTCACCATGTCCAAACATAGATGCCCGGAATATTGGTTCAAAGACACCAGAGTCATCTGCAGAATTGTCATTTCTTGAAAATCCGACAGCATTTTTAGCACAACAAACTGTTTTAGTGAATAATTCAATCAAATCCCCTTTGACTCAATCCAAAGATCTTAATCCAGTCAGCATCAAATCGGAAAACTCAAAAAGTTCTCCAAAAAATTCATCTTCAGAACCTTCAACTCCCAAAACTCCTACAACTCCAAAAGCAATAGAGAAGTCTGATATCAAAATTTCAACATCTCCGAAAAATTCAAAATCCCCAGCTACTGTGACTCAGTTTTCAACTTTAGTGAAGGAGGAGACAAAGGAGTCAGTGAAAGATCAAGACCAGCAGGCAGATGTTAAGTTAGAGCCAACTGAAGCAAAGATTATTAACCATACTACAGAGGATGCATCTTCGAATCCATCAAGCCAGAATGATGCTGAAGAAGCAACAGAGTCAGATGCATCAAATTTAGACAGTTTGCACCAAATGATCAATGCCACAAGTCAGCATGAATTTCCTGCTAGCACTCTATTATCAGCAGCTGCAAGAGCTCAGATTTCTCAACAACAAACAACATCAAATTTGGCTGGTCAAAATGTACACACTGTGACCAACACTGTGGCTGATACCAATAATCTTCAGGATTGGATGAAGATTTTACAAACCAATAATGGAGCTGCTAACATGCTGTTAGATCAACATACACAGATCATGTTGCAACAGAACCCAAATTTAATGGCTGGTAGTCCTGGGGGACTGGTCAACACTTTCAATGCAATGACTGGGTTACCACTGAACATGTTTTTCCCAGTTGGTCAAGCAGTCGATCCTTCTGCCTTGTCTCCTTCAAACCTCTTACTTAATGTGAATCAACAAGTTCCATTACTTAAAGCTGATAGTTCCAATACCACAACTTTACCTCAGGATTTGTTAAAAACTTCCCTTCCCAACATCCATCCGCAAACACCTCTTCCCACCCAAGACTTATCAGCAACTGATCCAAACATGACATCCATAAACACTCCAATGCCAAGGATATCAGTACCATTGGTTTCTAGTGTTACAAACAGCATATCTCAAGTCATACCAACTGTAGGAGTAACTCAACCAATCTTGAACCAGCAACAGTTGACTCCTATGTTTGGTGGAATGACCTTTCCAGCTATGAATGGATTGTTCCTTGCCAATCCAATTGCGGCAAACCAAACCTGCAATCAAAATGTAACTCTCATGGACATTGTTCAGTGTGGTGATCAGAACAAGGCTAGTACACCAAAGGCAAGTCCAACATCTGAAGCCGCTGGTGTATCTGGTAACAACATAGCAACAGCAGTGAATCAAGAACTGTTAAACCAAGTGCAGAAGAATGAACAGCTTGGGAATGGTTTGAATCAACAGCAACTGTTGTTTCTACCAAATATTAATGTACCAATGATGCAAGTCCTTGGATCAAATCCATTCATCCAGCAAGCAGATGTAGATAAAGTTGGAATTCAAAATCAGCCACAATACATGCTCTCAAATCCTTTAGTAGATCCCACTGGACAGTTCTGTGCAAACCAACAGAACCAAACAGCATTGCTTCAGTTACTTGGTATGCAACAGATGATAAATAACTATGGATCTGGAGTAAGCAATCTCACTCCTGCTCAAATCCAACAAGTTCAGACTTTTCAGTTTCAACAACTATTGCTTCAACAGCTACAAGGTATGCAAACTCTTGTAAATCAAATCAATTTGCAAACTGTTCCTCAAGGACTTGATCAGAATGGTCAGATGAATACAGAGGTCAAAGGTTGTGACGAAAGTGAAGGTGGAGATGAGATTCAATCAGAAAGTGAAAGTGTGTTACAAGCAGACGTGGAAGATCCACCTGTCACACCTGTCAATAAAAACCATTTGAATGCTGATCAGTGCAATGTGGACAGTAATCAAGTGACAAAACAGTCTCCTCCTGTGAAATCAAACTGTGTGCCTAGAAAAAAGCTTAAGTGTAATACCCCAGTGAATCATAAACTGTCCAATCACAAAAGTGATAGTAATCATGTGACTAGTGATAATTTACATAATGATAAACATTTACATCATTATAATGGGGAAATAACTCTTGTGAATACCAACAGATTGAAGAGATCTCGGAAGGATGGCTTAGATTATTCAGGTGGGTTCATTTCAATATTTATCCAGTTGTTTCATTTTGAATTTTTAATTAAGTGGCTTAAGTTTTCTATTACATTTAAACATGCAAATTTGTCTTTTGAACATGGTTTTTGTCTTAGTTGAGACCTGAATGTCTGGTCAAAGTTAGGTTATGTTTCTGATTAAGGTAGTACTGTAGCCATGTCAATACGTTTGTTGGAATTTTAAGGTGATTTGCTTGGACATGTCAAAAATATATGGTGGTTATGAGTCAATTTTACACGCCATTTGACCCAGCTATAAAAAGGGGGTCAAATAATTGGAGAAAAATCAATACTAGGGGGATGTTCAGGACCAGCTGTAAGCAAGATCTGTGAGAATGAGCCTATTTTGAATGACTTGATCTAGTGCATGATTTTGTTCATGAGTTATGTATATTAGTTTTTTTACAATGATTTTATTTTAGATCATTTAGACAAAAAGAATAATAAGTTATCTAAATGTTTTAATAATGGTGATCTAGTATGGGGAGAGGTGGCTGGTTATAACTGGCCAGGAAAACTTATTTATTCTAATAATCATATTTATAGTAATGGTGAGGAAAAGGTATGTATAGCAGTTTTGACATATATTGCCGCTGCCTGCTGTCTTTGTCCGAGAAATAGTCTGTTTATTTACTCACAATAGAAGTGGTCAGATTGGACAAAAATTTACTAAAAATAGAATGCACGTCTGGCTTGAGCAGGACAAACTACTCTTATAACAGTATATGTTGTAATACCATTATCAATGCTGATCCATCCTATTTGAATGCGATGGAGGCCACATTTTATCTGATTCAAATGAAAAAATTTGGCTTGTAGGTGTAAAATCCACAAGATCTTACACAAGTGTTAATAAAGATATAATTTGACAAATGATAACGAAGTTTCAATATTTGATAACAATGAAATGATGTTAAATATGGCTTGTGAACACGATTTTTCTTGGCAAATGTTTGACTTTCATACATGATTTGGTAAAAAAAAATTGAATTAGGATTATTAATTGGGTTAGCGCCCTTGTCTAATATAAATGATATTTTGAAAGTTCACGTTACCTCTGTGGAGCTCTTCTATGATATATGAAATGTTATTGTAGGTATTAGTACGATGGTTTGGTGATCATGGTGAATCAAGGGTTAATCTTCTTACACTGAAATCTTGGGATGAAGGTTTACTTGCTCATAAAATGTAAGTTTAATCAACACTTAGTTTTATACATCTTCACAATGTCAAGCTATTACTTATACCTTGACTGCAATAGACACCTTTCTTGTATCATGGAATGCAGCAATTTGATTGGATCATGATTGGACAATCAGATTCCTCACAAGAAAAACAAACATTAGTACAATCCAATCAAATTACTGCATTTACAATTTGCTGTGATACAAAAAAATGTGGTTTTTACAGTCAAGGTATAAGACAATGTTCATAATAGCATTGACATTGTGAAGATGAGTTTTATAGGAATATACAAATTTTCTGGATATGTAGCAAATATAAGTAAAATACATTGGACAGGTTTGACGATGGTTTACAGAAGTAATAGTAGAAGGCTAAATTTCAGGCACATGAAAGTAATCAATTTCTATTTTGCAGGGGTCGTAATTTTAATGCCACATTAGAAGCAGCAATTCAAGAAGCTCTACTCCAGGAAGGATCAAGCGATCTACCTCTCATTGTGAGACAAACTAAAAAGAAAAAAGTTTAAGGCCTTGAATGTGAGAAATGAAAGTCTAAACCTAGCTCTATTGTGATTAGAAGAACAGATATAGTTTATGTTATCTTCACAATGTAAAACTATTACAAACTGCATCTAATACCTTGACTGCAATAGCCACTTTTCTTGTTTCTAGCGAATACAGCTTATCAGTGCACTCAACAGAAATACTTCTAAAAATACAAAGATTTTTCAAATCTTGGAATGTATACAATATATTTTAAGAATTCATTAAACTTACCCCAGATAGACTCTAGGTTTAGACTTTTGTTACATGAACCCAGGCAAATGTTTTTATAAATTATTACAGATGTTTTTCAATCTATTTTTAAATTGTTGTGTTTTTAAATCATGCTGTATCTAGTGCTAATCTCATATTTCTGACTTATCTTACAAATTTTTATCCCCAAATTACCAAGTGTTTAGTGATTGTGAAAATTAATTTATTAATAAAATTTTTATATCGATGGCATTTTTCAAAATTAACTTTTTTAATCCTTTCATTTTTAGTTGCAATAGAGATCTAATTTTCAAATTAAGGGTGGTGTTGGGTGAAATGATATAGTTGTTAATTTTTCTTTTCATTATTTTGTTAAAATTGGAATAAATTTTGTTGATTGTTGCTTCAGACTTGGTTTTAATTTAAAATTTATATTTGGATTTATCGTTAAAATTTTGGATATATCGTTAAAATAATTTGTCTCGTATGATTTTTTTTGTTAGATTTTGATTTTAATTTATTTGATTTTGTGAGAAATTTTACTGTTATGGACAATGAACAAAAGTGCTGTTATCTTAATGCATAATATTATAAAAGAACTGATTTGTTTTAGTAGTTGTTTTGAAGACTATTTTTGGATTAAGGTTATTTTGAAATTTTTGAAAAGATTGTTATCTGCTTTCTCAGCTTATAGAGTGGTGTGTATCAGTTTAAAATAAGCTTTTTTGACGTCTGTTACTGTAGGTTCTTAATACACTTTGGGTCAAAAAGACCTGTTTTTTTAGTGGAATTGTAAGAACCAAGACATCCATCAACACTATCTTTATCCCTAATAAAATGAAGAGTTGAGAAAACATCTCTAAAATCGCTTCAATATTTACTATATATTAGGTCTATTAACCCTTCACCAGTATTATTGAAACCCAGAAATTAATTTATTGATCACACTTCATGAATAGAAAACATACAATTCCTTAAAAAGTAGTATGATTTTAAACTTACTTTTAAATTGATGGCCAAAAATGTCTTTTTAAAAGCCTTAACTTGGCATTGACCAATCAGAGATGATATATTAATTGGATTAAGTTTTATTTTGTTTAATGTTCAAAGCTTCAATACAAGTGCTTACAATTCCTTACTCCTTTTTCCTTTATTATAGCTTTATTTATGTTAATTGTTTGATAAATGGCATTATTTTTCTTTAAAGCTTCACAAACATGTTATTATTTGTATATTTGATGTTATTATTTGTATATATTGGTTGTTTTTTGTATATACTTATGATAATATTATGAAGTGATGGTTGTTTTTGTTACAGAAGACTTATATTCAAACTGAAACTTATTCCTTTGAAAAATAATAATAGCAGTAGCTGTAAAATATAAGGCGGGTTTCTCACATTTTAGATATGAGCTCAGTGTTTGGGAGATTATGAGTTCAACCTTATTAAGGCATAGAATATACACTTAAGAGCCATCATTTATTGAAGATCGTTAAAGATTTCTCCAAATTGGTCTATACTTTTCACTAAGTAATTCATTTATCTCGGCTCAAATTTGACAGTTGAATGAAATGTTTTTCAAATCTAAGTGTTCTTACTTTGGTTTTGTGCGAATGTTATTATATTTGAAATGGAATAAGTTTTAAGTTAGGACAAACAAGTGTATATCATTTTTGTTAATTTGTGAAAGAGTTCAAGTCACAATGTATATTATTAGTGCTAACCTAAAGATAAACTATATCTTTCTTAACTTTTTTTATATTTACAATGTATAATATGATAACTCCTCAATACCTTTGTTTTCTTTTATGTGCCATGTTTGTCCTGTAATTTTCACACTGGATTCATTGATCTATTGGCTTTGCTGTTCGTTAACAAAATGTGCAATTTTCGTGATGGGCATTTTTTTTTTTGCTTGTTCAAAATTGTTTCTGTATTAAAGGGATTGTAAAGAGGTTTTCTAATTTTTTCATTTTTTTCGGGGACACTGATAGCTTCAATTTGCACCATTCTGATTTTCATTCTGACGTCTGTGGTTCTTGCAATTCCACTAACATGTTTTATGACGTCACCAGAGGGGAGCTATCGCAAGCTACTATTAATATCTATGCAGTTCCCCTCTAGTGACGTCATAAAACACATTAGTTTTATTGGAATTGCAAGAACCACAGACGTCGGAAGGTAAAATGGAATGGCGCAAATTGATGCTATCAGTGTCCCGAAAACACATATAAAGTTTAGAAAAACTCTTTACAATCCCTTTAATACGGAAACAATTTAAAATTTTAAAATCTAAAGAGATTAAAATTGTGATTTCACTGGTTAAAGATTTTCTAATCCTAAAGAAAATAGGTTATCCCAATCACCATGGAATAGTCAAATGTTTAAAATTATGTTTAATTTCAGCTGTTCTTTTCACTTTTAGAGTTTTTCTGTTGAAATAAAGACCTGTCACTTCCAGAATGCCTGCAGATAATGAAGCATCATGGTCATGACTTCCATTGATGCCAATAACCCTCTTAAGTGTTCACAAGATGTTCAGAGCAAACTTCCATGATTTGGTATTGAATAGAAGTACCATGTAGCCAGTGTGAAACATTACTTATTAATAAAAACGTTCGTATAATTTGTGTTCAACAAGAGGTTAAGAGTTAAATTATTTAGATCTTATCTCTATTTTATTATTAATGATATCTGTGCTAAAAGCACATGAGATGCAAATCTTATTATTATTATTATTGTAAATTTGTCTTGTAAGATAATCATAATACTGTTAATTTTTTGTCTGAGTTTTTTATTTTGTTATTTGTGCTAAAAGTGTATGCACTTTAATTAGAGTGAGGAATGTAGGATGTGATAACTTGTAATATTTGCCCTTCTCCCTTAGTAAATTACCTTCAGTCAAAAACCATTATATATTTAACATTGTTTTCATTACTGGAGAGTTCACTTCCTATGATGTAAAGGGAGATAATATTTCAAATCATGTCATTATTATTTCATGTTAAATATAAATATTACTATAAATGAAAAAAGTTGTCTGTTTTTCTCCTTTATTTTCTGTGTAAATATACATGTATGATAAATTGGTGGTGCTCGATTTGACCCAATCAAATAGTATGGAAGCAGATTCGTCACATTCAACATTTTCCCATCTATTTCCTTCTCCACTATTTTGAATTCTGTCGGCACCTACTATTTTTCCAGCGCACATGCATTCATTCTGTTCCAACTTGTTTTATTGAATGTGTGGAACTCACCAATGGAGTGGGCCAATGGATACCCCTCTAGCACATCTACAAATTTTCAACCTTTAGATATTTAGTATAGCTGAAGAAAAAGGATAAAAATTCATTCTATGGAAAAGATTAATACCATTGGTCTAATTCTTGAACATGTCATTTTCACAGATTACTTACATAGTAGAAGTAAGTGATTCCATAAAATCAAAACAATATTTTCCAACTAAACTGATTGATAAGGCTATTACTAATCGTCATTATCTACTGATGTGGGTAAAGTTTGTGAATTTCTGCTGCCTAAGGAGTATCTTAACTGGTCCGCCATTTCATCTGAAGCTTCGCACCCAAGGAACAGATTGGAGATATTGTCATCTTGGCATTGATTGGACAAAATTCACTTCATACCCTAAAGTATTGTCATTGAGATCAACAGTTGTCAAACCTGAATAGGTGGCGGCCCTATTTCTTTGATTATTTTCACCCAATTTTGATCTGATTTTCTGTATCTTTTTGGTATAGGATAATCAAATACAACTGGCAAATTATCGGGTCTATAATGTCTTGAACAAGCTGCACAATTAATAAATGTCGTGGTTCCATCACTTCTAATACCATATCCTAAAATATAAATTAATGGAATTCTTAAAAGTTTAAAAAGACTCATTCCAACGACATTTTACTTTTCACACTGGAATGATGCATAGTCTCTTTAAAGTATTTGAATGAACCTCAAATTTTTCAGAGAATTTTTAATCTGTTTTCAAGGATCTGTATAAATCTGTAAAAAATGAATTGTATTATTTTATCACTAATTTGTGGTAAGTAATTTGTCACATATGGATGCCATTTTCTGACTAACCTTCGTGTATGTGACCATAAATATGATACTGAGGTTGTACTCTTCGTTGTATTGTGTTCAATAGATCAACACAACCAACATGATGACCACTATGGGTCTTATCACCATAACCTACAACAAAAACAAGGTTCATATTGACAGCATTCTCAAGTTTTGAGGGGGTGGTAGCTCAGATGATTAAAATATTGGAATCCTAACGTTAGTTGTTGGATATGTCAAGCAAATGGTCATTGTGAGTTCTAATCTTGATCAGCTTGTAAAATGATATATTAATAAGGTTAAACTTATACAAACCTAAAGGTGGAGTATGTGTCATTAAAATATCAACATTATCTGGTATACTATTCCATTTCTTTAACAATGCTTCTCCCCGATTCACGGAAAAAGCAACACATTTGGTATACTTTTCCATCCTATCAGAGAAAGAATCAGTTATAAAACTAACCGAAGCTGTAAATTTTGGAATGTTATCTATTAATAACCTAAATGTACCAATTTATCATCAATAATACACAGTTTGTGGCAGTTTGTCATATTTTTGGCAGTAAAAAGTCATATTAAAGTCTTTTAGCAACCAATCATTTTAAAGTTGTCAAAATGATCTTTGTGGGAATGTTTGAGTAGCTCCAGAACACATTTTATTCAAATTTAAAAATTTAATTAACTAAACCAATTGTAATTTAGAGAGAAGTCTCTCAAATGAAGGCAATACGAGGCTTATCAAGACAGAGTTTTTCAAGTAAATTTCAAGAGAAGCCACTTTTCATATTTTGATTTGCCAAATCACCACAGATCTAAAGCCTACAAGTGGTTCCAGGGGGTTTTCTGGTGGTTGACATTTACAAGAAGGTAAGCCAAGATATTCAGGAGGTTTCCAGGGCCGATAAACTCATCGGGGTTGAGGGGACTTTAAGAAAGTGTTAAAGGGTTGAGGGTTTATCTTACCAAGGTGTGCCATATATTTTAACCCCACAAACACCAACCATGCTATCCTCTAAATACACACAATTTCTCAAGATAGATTTTACATCTGTCGCTTTCAGATCTAATCTAGTTTGTCTTTGAACATAGCCCTGAACATCTGATTTCACCATACCCAAATATGGAATATAGTCTTCATCTTTATATCTCTGTATCATAGATCTATCTAGACAATGATCATGATTTCCAGCTATGACTAACTTTACCCGATGTCTTAACAAACCTAAAATAGACATACACGAAATAGTCCGATCAAGACCTTAAGAACTTTTATTTACAACTGTCAAGTTAGTCAAAGAATTAGGGCATTAAAATCATATGAAGTTGTTGTTATATTATGTCTACAGGCTACAAAACAGTTATTCTCGTCAACCCAGCTGAAAATGGGTATGGATAATCTTGGTTAGAGCAATGTCATTAAGAGATTAGCCAAGGTCCAGCTTGTAGAAAGGATCCATTGTTTGTTCCTTGTTATTGCTTTATAGTACTTAATGTTTTGGACAAAAAAACCAGAAAACTTCTGGACAATGATGGGTAGGCCTATAACATACCTAATTCATTGTCAAACTCACGAAGAGCATGCAGGTATCCTTCATGTGTTAAATCACCAGTATGTATCAAAACATCTCCAGGTGGAATCATACGTCTGGAGATCATTGTATTTAACTTTTCATGAGTATCAGATGTACACACAATTCTTAATTTGTCCTCTGAGATCGGTTGTAGGCCTTCAGGGTCTAAGATTTTCACGTTTTGTGTCTCTTTTCGAATTTCCCAGCCTTTTTCTGGGTTATGGGAATTGTCATCGAGTCCTACACATTCTAGTTTGTGTTCTTCTTTAAGGCGCTTAGTATTGTGAAATAGGCTTTTCATGGTTTCCATGTTGAAGATTTAGTTCTGTACTTGTATGCCTATGTTATTCTGAAAGTTTATAAATCAAAATTAATGCTAAATTCAACCTATAGGCTAGATTGAAACATATGTCTAATCCAGCCTCTGATAGTTATTTGGACAGATGTCAGTCTCTATTCCAGCCTCTGATAGATATTAGGACAGATGTCAGTCTCTAATCAAGGCTCTAATCCAGGCTCTGATAGATATTTGAACAGATGTCAGTCTCCAATCAAGGCTCTGATAGATATTTGGACAGATGTCAGTCTCTAATCCAGGCTCTGATAGATATTTGGACAGATGTCAGTCTCTAATCCAGGCTCTGATAGATATTTGGACAGATGTCAGTCTCTAATCAAGGCTCTGATAGATATTTGGACAGATGTCAGATGATAAGAGACGAATATCTGTCCAAATATCTATCAGAGAATGTATTAGAGACAGATGTTTCAGTCTACCTATAGGCCTACCAATATTTACACAAAATCATCAATAAAACTACATAATTATATATTCTATTAATCCCCAGATATATTTCAAAACAAGTAACAACCTTTCTGATGTTTATTTCCTGGATTTGTAAAATGAAATCTTATTCAGAAGCCAGAAAGTAATTACTTTACCTGTGTGGTCTACTTTCACTTTCAGTGTTGACTTGACTACAAAATAACCACATTAGGCCTACTTTCCACAAATATACACCTTTTAAAGTCAGGTCAATTCACAATAGAAAACCATTATCATTGCTGTAGGCTATAAATAAATTTATATTGCCATTAAAAATTTCACTACGTCGTCTTACATTGTACTACACTTAATTTGGGAAGTGTATAATCCGAAGATCGAAGATCGCAGACCTGTATAATCCGAAGATCGCAGACCCCAACTATAATCCGCAGACCCCCTATACTATATTCGGCAGACCCAACTATAATCCGCAGACCCCCTATACTCCGCAGACCCCCTATACTATATTCGGCAGACCCAACTATATTCGGCAGACCCCCTATACTATATTCGGCAGACCCCAACTATATTCGGCAGACCCCAACTATATTCGGCAGACCCCCTATACTATATTCGGCAGACCCAACTATAATCCGCAGACCCCCTATACTATATTCGGCAGACCCAACTATAATCCGCAGAGCCCCTATACTATATTCCGCAGACCCCCAACCCCCGCCCCCCTTCACACTTTCAGAATTTCTTTCTTATTTACAACATTAGGTGCCTGAATGGTTAACATGTAGTACAATGTTTCAAGGTCACAGTAAGTTGACTTCATGTCCAAAGCTTTGAATTCGATTGATCTTTGACTTCAAAGGACTGACTCGGCATTACTATAACGAAAATTTCATCAGCTGGTTCATATATTGCCCTTATTCACTGGGCTTTATAGAATATAAGCTCCTTTCACACACTCTGTGCATGTATTACATAAATTAAATGATATATTCTTCAGTTGTAAATTTGATTCTCTTGAGAGAGGGTTTCCAATATTTCATACATGTTTAGAATACCTGCCCGAATTTCTATAAAGGAGGATAAGGAACTGAGTAAATTTTCAAATTTTAAATGGAAAGACATTTCAAATTTAGAAGAAATTGGCAGTGGTGCCTTTGGCACGGTGTTTAAAGCATCGCATGACGAGAACGTTGTGGTTACGGCTAATATTAGAGATCGACTACTTGAGTCACATATTAAGACATTAAACGAACAGCTTAACTACATTTTGTAGTTACTAATTACATTAATGAGTGCCTTAGAATAGGATCATGTAGAATTATTTTGCATTTTGTTATTTTGTGACTATGTCCATTGAATAAAACAGTTTTTGTTTTTGGTTTATCGTAATCAAACGGTCTCTTTGAAAGTTACACTAAAGCTCGGCAACAGATTATGGTTTTTGGAAACTGTGCAATGTAATTTCCACTAATTTTGAACCCTCCTCATTTCCAACATCTAAGGATGTCAACCCAAAGCGGTGGAGAAACGAGAGTGGGGAGGGAGGCATAGCATGGAAATGCCCAAATTGTGATGGATGGCATGTTGCCACTAAATACGCTACTGGCCCACAAAGTTCCAAAAGCAGTTTTTGATATACTTTGCAAGTAAAAACGTAATAGGTGGAGATTACAATGTTTTGTACATACCTCTGGATGTCTAGATGATTTCATCCCTAAGTCTAATTATCGACGCATATCCAAACATTGCTTCAAAAAATGGCTTCAAAAAATAAAAAAAAGTAGGCCCCCTATATGGGGTCTGCCGAATATAGTATAGGGGGTCTGCGGATTATAGTTGGGTCTGCCGAATATAGTATAGGGGGTCTGCCGAATATAGTTGGGGTCTGCCGAATATAGTATAGGGGGTCTGCGGATTATAGTATAGGGGGTCTGCGGATTATAGTTGGGTCTGCCGAATATAATATAGGGGGTCTGCGGATTATAGTTGGGGTCTGCGATCTTCGGATTATACACTACCCTTAATGGGTTGGAATCCTCAGTTGATGCCACAGGCATGGTTTCTATCGACAGTGTAACGATGGGTGTAATTTTTTTTTGTATTTTTATTGACCAATAGTTAAATTAGTATGAAGAGGAACACTGGGGGAGATATAAAATAGGCCGATCTAGTGTTAAGGGAAAATATTCAATGAGATGCGGAGTTAGCCACCTTCTCTTATATACCGTACTATTATAGTGAGAGTTGACTATTGATAGAAACAGATGCCTGTGGTTGATAATAAACCAGTCATGTCTAAATAAAATAGCAACCTCCGTCATACTTGATACTGTATGGAGAACCTAAAGGCCTTGACATTTTTTTGTTACATATGTTTAGATTTAAAAGAAATGCTGATATACCATGATGTGTACAATGAGGGTATTTTGTAAGTATATATGCTGCACAAGCTTCTTCAATTTCACCTTCCAACTATGAGGAAGCTTTGTATCCTGGAAAAATACTGAAAATACATTCAAGATATAAAAAAAATTCTGTTTTTTTTAATTTTGACGAAATTCTGTGAATGCTTATATGCACGAATATAGGTTACACCACTGTACATGTTACCTTGCTTGAAACTACTGGATTCATTCTACTAGCTGACATTGTACAGAAAACCCATGTTTATCAAAACAAGCAAATGCGGAGGTTACGCGAGGTTCCACATGTGAATTATTCATCATTTCCGAAGATGAACGAAAAATAGGTCAGCACGAAATTAGGATTTCATTACTGGAGAGTTCACTTTCTATGATGTAAAGGGAGATAATATTTCAAATCATGTCATTATTATTTCATGTTAAATATAAATATTACTATAAATGAACAATATAAAGTTGTCAGTTTTTCTTCTTCATTTTCTGTGAATATTTAGTTATAGTCGGAATTATCTGCCTCTATTCCAGCCTCTGATTGAAAGTTGTCGACTGGTGTAGACAGAAAAACTAGGCCCTGTTCGGATGAATTTTCGACATATTCACAGGGGCAGGTTTTTTAAACACCAATTTATTTAAATGAAGTCTGCCGAGAGGAAAGTTACAGGTTTGCAGTCATGGTAAAGATAAGTTAATATAAAATTAGATAAAACGCATCATCATGTCTGGAAAATCCATAATGAAAAAGGGCCAACTTCAGTCGATAACTGTCAACCTATATCTATCTCTGGTGCATTTTCAAATTTCCATATTTAGTATAGAAGAAGAAAATGACAAAAGAGGATTCATTAAAAAAGATTAAGTACCATTGGTCAAATTCTTGAAAGCACTGAACATGGCATTTTAAATGCTACCCACTGAGATTCCTGTAGGCCTAATTTCGTTTTCATTCAAAACAATATCTTCCAACTAAACTGAATTATTAGGCTTATCACTGATAGTCCGATTCTATGTAGGCCCTATTTGAGTCTGTTGGTCTGCATGTATTGGACTTTGGTCAATTTCTGCTGCCTAAGTTCTTTTGAACTGGTCCGCCATGGCACAAGTCTATTCAAACTTCGCATGGAAGGAAGAGGTTTGAGCTATTGCCATCTTGGCGTTGATTGTACGAACTTCACGTCATACACCAAACTGTGACTATAAGTAACGTTATTTGGGTTGCCAGTTA